AAATAAATAAATAAATAAAATCAACCAATCAATCTATCAATCAACCAATCAATCAATCTCGTTGTCTTTTCCCATCCCGCCACCAGAGTGGTACTACTACCACCCACTGACGTCTCCTATACCCCGGGCCTTCGTCCACTTCGGCAAGGACCTCGACAACGCCTTGTGGGACGGCCAGAACCTCATCCTCGGAGACGGCGGGAGCGAGACCTTCCCTTACTCTGTCATTGACGCTGTGTCTCATGAACTGGCCCATGGCGTCACGGAGAGAAGTTCAAACCTCGAGTTCAGGTCGGATAAAGAAATTAAATGAATTTTGCAGTTCAAATCTTGAGTTCAGGTCGATTAAAGAAATGAGTTTCATAGTTCAAATCTCAAGTTCAGGTCGGATAAAGAAACGAGTTTCATAGTTCAAATCTCAAGTTCAGGTCGGATAAAGAAACGAGTTTTGTAGTTCAAATATCGAGTTCAGGTTGGCTAAAGAAATAGATTTTAAAGTTCAAATCCCGAGTTCAGGTCAGCTGAAGAAACGTTGGGTGCAGGTCGGCCAAATAAATGAGTTTTGCTGTTCTAATCTCGAGTTCAGACTGGCTAAAGAAATGAGCTTTGTTTTCCTGTCTATGATACAATTGATGTTTAATCCATCTCTTCTGCGTAAATTGTATTGTGCAATACTTCTAATAACTGAACCCGTCTACATTTTGTCCGGTAGGTATTTGTTCTTTCTCGAGGTCACCGGGGTCTATGGTGTAGCGGATAAATACTCAGCCGTTTCACTCTGAAGGCACGAGATCGATTTGGGAGCTGGAAGATTTTGTATAGAGCATATATCCAACTTTCTTCTAGGACGTTGTATCCCTCTTAGCCTTGGTTGGCCCTGACAAGCAGAGTTGAAGGAGACCGTCCCCTACATCATCTGAATTGCCTTCTTTAATTACATGTTTGATACTTTCTCGAGGTCTAGATGGATTATCATGTAAGGGGCTCGCACAATGGAACTGACTCAGTTTTTTCTTCATGGTTTCAAGCAGATAGTCGAAAGTGCAGACATCAAACTCTCATGAGAAGTTTATAACAATGTTTGTTTACGAATACGTACACTCATTTGCCCTCTACAAATTATTATCATTCTTTGCACCAACCCCCCTCCCTATCTGAACCCGCAAGGAAACGACAACAAATGAACACACAAACAAACAAGCAAACAAACTAACAGACAAACAAATAAACCAACCAACCAACCAACAAACACACAAACAAGCAAACACGCACACACAATAAAACCATACAAAACTGACACAAAGAGCAAAACAAAACACCCAGTCGTAACATTGACAACGACATGCCAATTCTACCTTTTTGATGTCCATTACTATGATCAGGCTACACTGGTACCAATTTAATCTTTCTTTTGCGTTCATAAATAATAATATGATGACAATACCAATCAAGCTGTATTTTGTTTCAAGACAGTATAACTCGCGGTTGATTGGCGGGTGCTCTTGTGTGGTTTTCTCCTTCTTTCCTACAAACATCTGTCGTCCTGATCTCTCCTCATTTTTTGGGAGTTTGTTACCCTCTTGCAACACCTCTAATCTTCGTCATTAATATGACTTTATTGTGTTGCAAGTGCCGTCAAACTTTTCCTTTTAAGACTAAAACAGTATAATAACACGAGTTTGCTATTCTCCACAGAAAGCAGTCCGGTGCTATCAGTGAATCGTTCTCTGACATGGCGGGAGAGGCGGCGGAGGTCTATATCAAAGGGTCCAATGACTGGGTTGTAGGCGGTGACCTTCTCAAGAAAACTGGAGACGCTGTCAGGTAGTACTCTCCACACACTCAGTTCTAGTAAAAGTTGAACGGCACGTGCAACACAATTATGTCATATAAGTGCCGAAGATTAGAGGTGTTACAAGAGAGTAGCATACATAAAAAAAGAAGGAGAAGAAATAAGGACGATCGGGGTTTGATAGGAAAGAAGAAGCAAGCCACACCAGAGTACCTGCCAACCACCCACTCCACACACTCATCCGCTGATTTTCATCTCATTCTATGTACACGTATGTGTTTAACAATCTCCACAGAGGTAGTAGGAAAACTAGGAGTGAGTTCGGTCGATTTGCTGTCTACTGGTTAGGTTACCGGAATCGTTATCTTGAGACTGAGAGTTCAGGGATTCGAAGCTTATCCTCGTCCGATGTTGTGTATTTTGAAAAGGCATTTAACACAAAATTTGCCCATTTTGCTCGGTTCTATGGGGGTTGAGCATAAAATTCGGAGGTTCCGCCTCTAAAAAATAAAAATGGCCATGCAAAGGTCGATAAACCCTTACAATTTTGCAATTTTTCACTGCTAGTGCATGACCGACCCAGATGTCAGGGGCACCTTCTTTCATCAAATGAGAGATGGTAGACAATACAAATATACCCTCTTTGAGGAACAAGGGAATTGAGGAGGGAAATGAGTCGAACACGAGAGAGAAGCGCACGTGTCTGCCAAGGGAGACACTGCATTAACAGAGATCAACTATAGAGTAAAGGTAAAGGTGGTTGAAATAAAGAAAAACCAGACCAAAACTACGCTCAGCGTGACCGGCTTCAGGTCAGAACCCACACCACTTCGGGAATACCTTCAGGCTGTTCAAACACATTATTTTTGTTCATTAAGGAGCAAAGTACATTCGAAAAAGTGCATCTTCTGAAGCAACCTAAATGGAGGAGTCTTTTGTCGAGGTGGATCCAACACTATAAGCTTTAGTTGCCACCTGTAACTCTTCTCTTTTCTGCCATAATTCAACACTCAAAATCAAACCTACTAAAATCATGGTACCGATGTATTGGCACAAGAGTTAAATGTAATTATAATAGATATTGTCCTCTACACCAGCCACCCATTGCAGACTAGAAAAGTGGTCGCCTTTTAAACAGGTGAACGTCTTGGACAGTGTCACTATGGTATTTTAAAAGACAGTTTG